TGTTAGTATTTGTTTTAGTTTTTTAATTCATGAACAATTTAGCGTTGCATTTGGCCAATGCTAAATTATTGCATTTGGCCAACACTAAATTATTGCATTGGAGTCAGAATACTTCATTTCCCTCATATTGTTAAGCATGGTGTTTCCCTATTTTTTCCGAAAGGGTTTAGCGTCGCTGTAAGTTGACGCTAACTTTGATTTTCATTTTTTAAATGATTAGTATCGTAGGTACTAGATTAGGTGCAGAAAATATGCTTTCCCACCAGAATTTCGTTTGCTCATTTTTGTTTAATATCATTAAAATTAAATAAAAATGAAAAATATTTGTTGTTACATTTTCCTAAATATTTTCTTACATCTTTTTGTCTTATATTAATTATATTTTTAAAATAGCATATCTTTAAAAATTATAAATAATTACAATAAATTAAAATCAAAATAAAATAAAACCATTTTTTTTAAAATCAAACAAAATTAAAATTATAAATTAGTAAAATAAAATTGAAATTATAAATTAAAACATAAATTTTATTCTAAAAGAAAAATTGTAAAATATATAAAACTAAATCAACTAAAACTAAAACTAAAATAAAATCAAAATTATAAATTAAAAATATACAAATCAAAATAAAATAAATAAATTATAAATGAAAAAATTAATACTAAATTATAAATTAAAATCCTGACTAAATTAAAACTAAACTATAAATTAATAAAATAAAATAAAAATAAAATGAAAATAAAAGAAAAATTAAAATAATAAAATAAAATCTAAATTAAATTAATAAAATAAAATAAAACTAAAACTATATATTAAAAGTAAATATAATTAAATTAAAAAATAAAGAGAAAATGGGTGATGCACTGAGTGTAAAATTTTTTTACACCATCAACCAATCACGACCATGAATCCCGTCAAGTCAGACAGTAATTATTAAAAATGTATATGACGTGGCAAAAAATATATATTTTTATTGAATGACAGTGTAAAACTTTTTTACACTATCAGTGCATCTCCATTTATATACTCAAAAATAAAAGAGAAAAGAACTTCTCACTGAAACACTGCGTTCACGATTTTGTTTCTCACCGAAATAAAATCGAACTTATTTGCCCTAGCTTAGTTATGTTCTGCGTTTCTCATCGATTCTAATTCCAAACTCTTCACTGAAACTCTGTTCATCTCTCTCCATTCGTGATTCAACTCGTGCCTTCCTTTATCTGAAAAACGAAGAAAGTGAGAAAGAGAAATCAGAAGGTTGATCAATGTATTTCGATGCACATTATTCTATGATTGTACTTAGGTATTTCCTAGTTTGTTTAGTTTATTTTACTATTTTATTGTGTTTTCATATTTTAGTTTATTTTTCCCTTTATTTTATTTTCGTATTTTATTTTCTGCAAAAGCAGTTTTTCTTGTGAAAATCATAACTGAAGTTACGGGAGGCCATTTTGCTTGTTCCGATATGCGTTAGAAAGCTGAGAGAAAGAGATACAACTTTCATGTTGAAGCCAAAAGCTGAGTCATAGTGCAGAAGTCTTAAAAAATTCGTTGAAGTTTCAGACATTAGAAATATTTAGTTTTGGGCCGGGTTTTTGATGTTTTTCGACCCAGTTGGTTAGAACCCGAATTTGATGTTTTCCTATACCCAGTGGCAGCCGCACTACTGTTCAACTCTACCATTTTTACTGTTCGCAACATTATTTTTCTGAAACTTTGCACGTTGTAATGGAGAACTAAACACCATATATTAATCTGCTGTAATCGGTTTCCGCCGACACTTTGAGGTTCTATAATTTTCAATAAAATTGCTTATTCCTTTCAATATTATGCTCTATGTCTTGTTTTCTTAATTCAAGTTCTATAAAATAAATATTGATTTTTTCGATGATTATGTGTTCCTATAATTTGATCGCGTTTGCTTAATCTGCGTAGTTGCATTTGGTTAATTCACAATAACTTTAATCTGTTTGCTTAATTCGGAAATTAGGAATATACATCTTGTAGTGTGACTTGTGCTTGTTAATTGATATTGTATTCGAAAAGGGATTAGCATCCTCTTAGGGCATGGAAATTATATGAATCAATGATAAGTTGGGAAACTGAAGTAGTAGATTAATCGTTTTAGCTTATTTGATAATCACTTATTTTAATAATTTTTTCCTGAATCAAAACTAAGCTCAACCCCTACCATAATCATTTTTATATTGGTTAATTCATACAAGAATCCTCGTGATACGTTAGTCGAGTCATTGTCGCTAGCTACAGTTTTTAAAATTACTCATTTTGACTAATGCGCGACATCATATCAAATTGACGCCGTTGCCGGGGATTCTTGTCGATTTAGCCAATAGTTTAGTTTTAAGTATTTTTTGTTTTGTTTTTCCTGCATTTTTTGTTATTTTTCTGAATTTTTCTACATTTTTGCGTCCGAACGTCCGACTTGACCCGAAAACCATGTTTTCTGAAAAATTGTGTCCGATTCAAAATCTCTTTTGCCTACTGGAAGTCGAAAAATCGTGCGGTGCCAAATTTCTCTTTTTTCTATTTATAATGAATTTTTTTACTGTTTTCATAGTTTTGAAAATTCCAAAAAAAAAATCTTAAAATTCTTATTTAACCTAATTAGAATAAATTTTAGTTATGAGATTCCACCCTCAAATCGCTATATTTCTCTTTTTTATTTATTTATTTATAATGAATTTTTTACTGTTTTCATAGTTTTAAAAAAATAAAAAAATGCTTAAAATTCATATTTCATCTAATTAGAATAGATTTTGTGTTATTGTATTTTTGCTGAATTTATTTTAATCATATCTTTTCTTGCGTTTTGTTTCTGCCTATTTGAGACACTGTTGGTATTTTTGCTTGTGATAACATGGCTGATCAAAGAACACTAAGGAAAATTGATGTTCCTGATGCTAACTATAATGGTATATGTATTGAATATGTTGATGTTGTTGTTCCATTTGAATTGAATATGTTTAATACACTTGTTGTCAAGATTTAGTGGTCTTACAGGTGAGGATCCGCATAAGCATCTGAAGAAATTCCAGGTTGTATGTTCTACAGCATTGAGGCCTGAAGGAATAATAGAAGATCACATCAAACTGAGAGCTTAGCCGTTCTCACTATAGGGTGCTGCTAAGGATTGGTTATATTATCTTGAACCGAATTCTGTCACAACTTGGAATGATTTGAAGAAATTCTTCCTACAGAGATACTTTCCTGCCTCCAGAGCTGCATCAATTATAAAAGAAATATGCGGTATTAGACAGGATGTATCATTGGCTGATTATTAGGAGAGATTTAAACAGTTAGTATCTAGTTTCCCTCAACACCAGATCACCGAACAATTGCTCATTCAGTATTTCTATGAGGGATTACTGCCAATGGATAGGAATATTCTAGATGCTGCTACTGGTGGAGCACTTGTCGATAAAACTCCAGCTGTTGCCAAAGCCTTGATTGAGAACATGTCCCTAAACTCCCAATAGTTCACAACTAGAAATAATTCTTTGGTCCAAACAAAAGGTGTGAATGAAATTCAGGCTTCCTCTTCTAAGAAGGCTCTAGAAATCGTAATTGACAAGCTTACTTCTTTAGTGAAACAGTTGCCAGTGATTAAATCTCAAATAACAAAGTTATGTGGTATTTGTACTTCTACTGAACACCCAACTGACACATGTCCTATTATTCAAGATGAACCCAACCCCCACCATAATCATTTTTCTGTTGGTCAATTCATACAATAATTCTTGCAATATGATACTCGAGTCATTATCGCTAGCTACAATTTTTAAAATTACTCGTTTTAATCCGTACGCGACAACGAATCAACGGTTAAGTTTCGTGTTATACTCTAAGTTCAGAGCTAAATCGGACGAGTCTTCTCGAATATGGTTCTCTTCGTTTTTCCATTGGTTAATTCTCTTAAATTGTTGGGATCTCGCATTCCTGTAGCTCAAGCTCAATGACATAGCGAAGAATTTCTCGCATATGGTTCTCTTCGTTTTTCCATCGGTTAATTCTCTTAAATTGTTGGGATCTCGCATTCCTGTAGCTCAAGCTCAATGACATAGTGAAGAATTTCTTTGATTCTGTTGATTTCTTTGATTAGTTAAGTCTTCTCCCATACGTGGTATTGTGATGACTCTTTCTTCTTTCTCATTTTTTTCTGTGAAATTTGTTTGATGGAAATGAATCGAAGCATGTAGATTTTAGTGTCATTTGATTCTTTGATGTTTTTCAAATTTGTGTTACATGAATTTTTTTTAGATTCACATATAAAGTATTTCTATACTGATTTGTTTTTCTTTGTGTTTTAAGAATGTATTTTTAAGTTTCAAATTTGCCGGCATGTCGGTGTTTTTCAATCTCTATGGCTCGGGATTAATCTCTGGCTTTTGTTGGGGAAACATAATAGGTGATTTACCATTGGTCTTATAAAATTGTAAACATTTATATATATTTGATCTGAATTTAGGGGATGAAATAATATGTGTGAAAGAAAAGGTGATGAAGTCGTAAACTTAACTGCTTGAACAACATCAACCGTTGCAGATTATGAAAAGTTTCTTGTTATTTTAGGAACAGGTGAAATGGAATGTTTTAGTTTTAGCATGAGAATGATTCTAAACAATTCCCACATTTGGTTTTTGATAGAATATAGCAAGTGTTTATATAGGTCTTATATGTATATTTCATTCCCATTATAGGTGCTTGATTTATGCTCAGATAAAATATAAAAATACTTTAATGCGTAATCGATTAATGCAACTTAAAAACTATTTTTTCCTTGTTCAGAAGTGATTTTTCACCAAATATTAATCGGGTACATTTCATATTAACTCGTTACAACATTTAAATTATTGATTATTACGCAAGACATTTCTCTCTCGTTACAAACAGTCATTTGTATCTTTAATTTATCGAATGAAACCAAACACATTTTACAACAAACTTTAAAGTCAATACAAACAAGAATATATATGAGTTTCTATGTAGTCTTCTCAGAAATATTATTCTGATTGTCACGTGAATCCAAGAGATCATGCCTCAAGTTTTTAACAAGATCGGTCACGTTCATGCAGTATTTATCATTCATCTGCAAAATAGTTTAAACACACTTTTAAAATTAATGTTTTTAAAAATATTTTTTACTCTCTCTCAAAATATATAATTGAATTGAAAAAAATAACATGATAATTACCTGAGCAATGATTGTGACTTTAAGAGTGGAATTTCCAAATGGTAATACGCTACTACTAGCAAGTGATAGGTGAAGATTTTGAAGCAACCCCATTATTTTAACCACAATATTCTCTTGTTTCTCACAATGGATTCCAATCATAATTTCCTTATCTATCACTCTTGCTTTAACATTAGGTAGTTTTTTCTTAGAATAATCAATATCATCTTCTTTTGTGCAAGCTTGAGATTTCTTGATGAGCATTTCTGAATCCTTATTTTTCATTTTGTTTTGATTGTCCAGCTCTTTTATTTTCTCTTTAAGTTGTTTCACATAATTGATAGCTTCTTCAAGTATGTAGAGTTTATCTGTCTATAAAAAAAATAAAAAAATGGGTATATTATTTGAATTATATATAAAAAAACTAAGAATTAAATTAATTAACTAGCAAACAAAATTGTTAGTTTTTAAAATATATAGATTCATAAACTCATTTAGCTTCCTTAGTTAAGGTGAAAAGTTACCATTTCTCGGAAGCTCTTCAAATTCAAGCCCGCAGGCTTCTACATATACTTCATTTCTAGAATGTAGAAGATGAGAGGAAATACAAACAAAACACATCAAAAAATTCAGAGCTTCTCATTTCAAGTAAGTTAGTTCTCTCTACACTAAAATTATCTCAAAACAGATTTTTTCATTATCCTAACTTTTCTCTAAAATTACTGAAAATCTTTAAAGTCTCTGATTATCCCTAACCGCATAAGGGTGCCACACATCTTTTCTTTTTTATTGATGATTTTTTATTGGCTTGACTTTGCCCTAGAACCACATAGAGGTGCCACACATGTGTTCTTTATAGCAAGTATAAGTTCTATTAAGCTTTAGATAATATTTTTAATTTAATTCATAATAATAATTTTATAAAAATTACATATATTAGACTTTTATTATAAACTATATTGATTAGTTATCTTATAAATTGGTTTACTAAAAAATTAGCAAATATTGTAAATGGATTTCATTTTTTTTTTACTTCAATATTATAAATTTAATTAAAATCTTATAATTTAAAAAAAAAAAATTTAGGCGGGTACAACTAAAATTTAGTGTATGTTTAGTTTGAGTTTTGGGAAAAACAAAAATATTTCATCACATGTAAAATTAATTTTTACGTGCTTGATTTTTTTTAAGTGAAATTAGTTTTCCCTCTATAATTACTTTTATTTAAAATTAGAATTTATATTTTTATGATATGTTTGCTTAAAGACATTTATGTATTTAAATTAAAATAATAAAAACTAATAAAAAAATTGAATAAATATTTTAAAATTGTATACCATATGGGCATTTGTACATTTTTTTAAGATTCTACACTGTTAATAATACATTTTTGTATTTTCAAATAATATGTCAATGTAAATAAATTATTGTCATTTATAAATCAGTAATTAAAAAATCAATGTTAATAAAAAAGTATATAGCCAAAGTTGCACAAAAAAATATCAATTCCATACTAAAATTAAGATAAACCTAATATTTTAATATTATTAATAAATGCAAAAATATAATTTTTTAAGACCCATTTTAAGACCCATTTTACAAACCTATATCAATTCCATATTATTAATAAATGCAAAAATATAATTTTTTAAGACCCATTTTACAAAAATTTGCTATCACTTAATCATTCATTCAATTTTTAAATAACATTCTTATATTTTAAAATGATTGTTGTTTAAGAATGTATATTGTTGTCATAATATATTACTTTAATTAAATTAATTTTATTAATATATTGAAAATAATATATAAAATGATACAATTGAAAAAATAACTATTATTTCTATATTAAAAAGTGAGAATAACATTCATTTTAAAATAAATATTTTTCTTAAAACAATAGTATTTGTGAAAGAGAAAAAGAAAATGTATTGAAAGTATAAAATATTTTTACACTATCATCCAATAAGAGACATGCATGATAATAAATTCCAATTTTATTTTTAAAATACTAAAATAACATGATAAATATAAATTTTTTGATTGATTGTATGTGTAAAATTATTTTATATTGACAATACATTATCTTTAAACTATTTGTGAAAGAGAAAAAAAGGAAATGCACTGATTTTTATACTGTCAACCAATCAGAAACATGCATCACAATAAATCCTAATTTTATTTATAAAATATTAAAATGATATGGCAAATGTAAATGTTATGATTGATTGTATTTGCATAATTATTTTACACCGATAGTCTGTTAGCTTTAAACTCTTTATAAAAGAGAAAAAAGAAAATATAGCGACAGTATAAAATATTTTTACACTATAAATCAATAAGAGACATGTATCATAATAAATCTTAATTTCATTTTTAAAATACTGAAATGAGATGATAAATATAATAGTTTTGATTGACTGTATATATAAAATTATTTTATATTAAAAGTGTATTATCCTTAAACTCTTTGAAAAAAGAAAAAAATATTCTGACACTATAAAATATTTTGATAGTATGAATTAATGAGAAATATGTATTATAATAAATCTGAATTTTATTTATAAATTGAAAAGAAAATGTGAAGAATGTGATGGAAAGTACATACTGTCGACCTTTTCAGAACATGTGATGTATGCATCCATCTTTGTGTGTTTCTGCATGAAACTCTATCTTTGTCAAAACTGAACTCCACTTTTTATATCTTTTTCTGACACCGTACCTTTAATCTAATTTGTATGCTTTCTGTAAAAAATTAGTACCGTACATGCAAAACACTGTATCCTGATATTCCACTTTGTCCTTATTAATAAGACCCTTTAATACATTTTTTTATGCATATCAACAAAATTATTAGTATAATTTGTGTTAATCTTATTAAATTACCATTGTATATAAATACAATGTGTTGAGTTTTTATATTTCAAATAAATTGATAATATTGATAAGAAATATATTTAAAAAATTCAATTCACAATATTTAAAAAATAATGAATATGCAGAGTCGCTGCACAAAATAACAAAAATTATTAATAATTTATTTGAATAAAAAGACTTAGGTCTTGTTTGATTTGGTTTTTAAAAACTGTTTTTTAGTTTTTGAAAACTTAAAAAGTAAAAACTTGTTTGGATTGCTTATTTTAAAAAATAATTTTTCAAAACACTTTTCATTTTATCAGTTTTTAAAACTGAAAAATCAAAATTGTCTTTGAGAGTTTTGAAACTCAATTTTGCTTTTCAATTTAAATAGCATTAGATGAAAATACCGAAAAGTGTCAATTTCAATGTTGTAATTTTTTTATAACATATTATGCTTTAATTTTTTTTTTTACGTAACTTTAATTACGTTAGGCTATTCCACATTATTTTAACTTTATTTTTTCGGAATCAATTTGCATAATCTCTTTTTTCTCTTCTTCATGCTAAATAAATAAGCTTTAATAACTTGTATTTCTATTTTCTTTAATTTAAATTCACTTCTTTTTCCATAAACATTGTACTCCATTAAAACTGTATATATAAAAGTATCAATCAATTCTTTCTAAAAAATATGATTAGTCAAACACGTTAAATTTTGTCAAACAGATTTTTCATTTTTTTCCTTTTTTAAAACTATTTTTAAAAACTATCACCAAACACAATCATTTTAAAATTTTATACTTAAAAATACTTTTTAAAACTGATTTATAAAATAGATTTTAAAAACTAAAAACAAAAAGTCATTCAAATGGACCCTTACTTTTTTAGTTTAATTTTGTTGAGATTCCTAAAATTTTTATCTTCTAAAGTGATTTTGATTGCACGATTAGAGAGTCGGACCTCCGTTTAATATTTGGTCAAGTATTTTTTTTCTTTAAATATATATAAAAAATAAAGGGTTAAATAATAGTCTCGTCTCTATTAAAAAATAATTAGATATTTTAATTTTAAAAATAAAATTTTGATTTCTAAGTTCCTTCTTTTTTTTTTTTTTGGAATTTGATTATCTCTTCTATTTTAAGGGAAATTCTACTAATGCGATAATGCCTAGTTCAAAATATTAAATGATACATCTTTAAAACTAATCTTAAGATGTGCACGGTTGACGATTGACATTTTCACCTAAAAATTAAAGATCGACCGATTTTTAAATTTGAAAAAAAAAATTAAAAAATGTTTAGATCAATCATGATTAACATATGTTCGACAACTTAAATTATATAAAATTATGTTGTTATATAATCCAAGTCGTCGTGTAGTCCAAATTCAAAGTTAATTAGAGTTATAGTTTATTACTTAATATACAAATTAGTTATATATAAATAGATATATTATAAATCAATTTTTATTAATTCAATAATAATAATTTTTTTTCTCACAAAAGTGTCCCACACACTATAGATTTTGAATCTATGATTTACCAATGATATTGTAGGTTGTATGAGAAATTAACTAACCTTCTTCAATCCCGGAATGGTGGCAGAAAGTGCTATGAACCTCTCAGCAATAACTTGTCTCCTTTTTCTCTCAGCTATGATATGATCCTGTATCTCAGATGCACTTCTACGCTTCTTGGTGGTTTTATTAACTAATTTTGGTAACTCACTACTCTCATTTTGATTTAGTGTTGTTGTTTTTGGGTTCATGATAGAAGAAGATGTAGCAATGGCACTATTATTAGGAGAAGGTTCCACAGACGAGTTTTCAAAAGACAGAAGGTATTGAGATGGTGTTTGTTGTGAAGAAATGAGACAATTTGAGTTCTTACTCTTATTGATCAAGTTTTCATGAATTGAAGGGTTGGCATTATTAAAGCCCTCAAAAGAGAAACTCGGTTGTTGCACATTCTCTATATCAAACATGTCTTCATCCAATGAGTGACCATCCGTTTCCTATAACATGTAAAAGAAACAAACAATCATATTATACGTAGAAATTAATCATTATATATATTATTAGTATATTAGAATAGAATAATGAAGCTCATGAGTGTCTCATTACCATAGAAGATATCCACGTTTCCCATGCATCTTCCATCTAAAGAAAATTTGTGAGACTGAGAACTACACCTTAATCATTCCCTGTCTTTGAAAGTTAGAGAACACTAATAATTAATAAATATATTTGGAAACTGTTCCCGACACAAAGATGCCTTACAGCCTTACCTAGACCAATCAATCCACCTCTGAATGTCTTGTCTTGTTTCACGTATGAATTTCAATTATTTAAATACATATATAGGGGCTCACGGGCTCACTTCACTAAGTGCATACCATCGTTATGAAATTTATGGTAAAAATTTCACATCATAGAAAATGATTTAAAAGTGCAATAATTTTTTTTATAAACAATGACGACTCAAAATTAAAAGAAGCTTAAGAGTCGGTCACACTTTTATAACCAAGAAAAAAAAAATTAACCATCCAATAACAAGAGCCAACAAAAAACACTAAACTACACCCAACAAGTTTCGGGATTCAAAAACCAATCCGATCAAGAGATACTCATTCCTTTTTCAGAAAAAGCATTGAATCAATCCCAAACTAAATGTTTAATCATTCAAGACATCCAAGTATCTAAGGATATTGCCCTTGAAAAAATAGAGTTTCTAACAAAAAGCAAGGCCAAAGAAGAAAAAGAAATGGTCAAATTTAAGTCTTAGAGTCTATCCAACAACAGAACCGCAAGAGAAGAAACATCTACACCTATTCATAAGCAAAAGTCGGTCCAAATAAGATTAGAATAAGAGTAAGAACAAAACAAATGCCCTACAGCCTCCTCTTCCATAAAACAAAGTGGACACACTATATTTTGAGCACCTTTAATAATTTCACGCTTTGTCAATTCCATCCTTGTAAGTAACTCATTAAGAATTAGACGTCAATAAAAAATAAAGACTTTACTAGGAATTTTAGTTTTCCATAAACAAGCTAAGGCTTTTGCTTTCAAAGGATCCAAAATACTACGTCAAAAGTGATTTTTAATAGCGCATATTAGACAGCGCTTTTGTACAAAAGCGCTGCTATAAGTGAATTAAAAAAAACACAGAAACTGTATAAAATAATTAATAAAACCGCTGCTAAACATATGACCTTAGACAACACTTTTATAAAGCGCTGCTAAAGGATTGCTTTAGAAAGCGCTTTATCATAAACGCTGATAAATATCTACTTTAGACAACGCTTTAAGAAAGCGCTGTCTAAAGTCATAAAAAATTAAAAAAAAATTAGAAAAGCGCTGCTAAAGGACACTATTAGCCAGCGCTTTAAGAAAGCGCTGTCTAAAGTCATAAAAAATTAAAAAAATATTAGAAAAGCGCTGTTAAAGGACACTATTAACCAACGCTTTTCAAAAGTGCTGCTATAGGTTCATATTAGCCAGCGCTTTTAGAAAGCGCTGTCTAAACCCTTATAAGTGAAAATTAAAAAAAATAGAATTTGTGTATTCACAGATTCACGAATACAGAAGCGAAACCCTTTCCCTCCTTCAACAGTAAGCGTAACCCATTTTCTCCTCTGTCGCAAATCCTTCGCCGTCGTACCAGCCCCCCTCCGTCCTCCACTGTCTCTCTCGGTTTTCCTCCACCCACACCGGCCGGTTCTCAAGGTATGTTCTTTATTGAAAATGTCTTTATCTCCATTGATGTTCAAACTGAGTTATCCTCCTTGATAATGTACTATGCTAACATCTAAGACATTATCCTCCTATTGATGTCTAAACTTGGTTATGTGTATGCATTTTAATTTTTGGGTTCTTGGTAGGGCTTGATATATAACAGCAACACTTTTAATGTTTAGCATTATTGCATTTTCTTTTGGTTCTATGTTTTGGAATAAAAAAGATGATATATATGATGAGTTTTTATTTTATTTTAATTAGTTTCTGAATTGTTTATCATGTTTATATTTTCTATGAACTAGTATTTTGAATATATATATATATATATATATATATATATATATATATATATATATATATATATATATATATATATATATATATATATATATATATATATATATATATATATATATATATATATATATATATATATATATATATATATATATATATATATATATATATATATATAACTTGTTTTTGATGATCCCTTTGTATTGGTGTAGTTGGTCGAAGACCATCACCGATTCGAACAACATCAAAGCCGCATCATCCGCCGTCGACACCAATAGCCCCTGTATCGATCAATTAAAAAACACAATTATTTTTATATAGATATATTTATTTTTATATTGGGTTTATGTTTATGTTTATTACAGGTTAGATGGCTACTAACGACGATCACCCACGTGATGATTCTGTGCATGATGGAGATAAGACCGTTAGTAAAAAGGAAATGGAATATAGAAGAGGAATAACAATAATGAAGAGAATAATTCAGGACAGAGACCAAGGCATAAAGTATGATGTGCATTGGAGCCAAGAAGGCCAACTCATTGAGCCTAATGGTTCAACGTTGATGAGTTATCTCGGTTCGGTGGTAAGAAGAGAAATTCCAATCACATGTGAAGATTGGAGAGCAAGAGTGTTGGACGATGCTAAAGATAAAATATGGAGTGAGATACATGTACCGTATGTGATGTTAATTGTTTTTAATGATGATTATGTCTCTAAATTACTTATACTAACGCACTTTGTGTATGATTTTCGTATAGGTCGTTCATCATTGAGGATACCAGGAGAGATTATATTTTTAAATTGGCCGGGAAACTACATAGAGGGTTTAGAGCTTTCTTGTCAAACAAGTTTCTAAGGGATGCAGATAAAAATTTTGTTGATGCAGAGCTTCCAAAGAAATATGTTGATTTGATTACAGCTGAAGAATGGGAAACTTTTAAATCGAAAAGAAATACCCAAAAATTTAAGAGTTTAAGTGTCATAAATCGACAACGAACATCAAGTCCAGCATATCCATACAGAAAAGGCTGTATGGGATATGCACGCTTACAACAATCTATTGTAAGTATCTATAAATTGTAAAGTATATTTAATATATACACACTTAATTTTGATCATGTTTTTTGGCTTAACGTGTAGCTAATAAAAGAGAATAGTTCTGAAACATCTCTTCCGGAACACATTTTGTGGAAGGAAGCCCGTGTGTGTAAGGATTGAGCTGTTGAAGAAAAAGTTCAACCAATTTTCGAGAGATGTGTAAGTATAATATTATTTATTTAATTACATCATACTTTTATTTATTTAATTACATCATTCTTTTATTAACATATCATTCTTTAATTACAATATTTATATGAATTTCAGGAGAGTCTTTCCCAGTCTATACCTCCAGATGAAGATAATGATTGCAGGAGAATACTCTCACGAGCATTAGATATCCGTGAGTATTATGGTCGGGTGAGGGGTAAGGGATTTGGGATCACTCCAACATCCTTGAAAAAAAAATCAAAGACAAAAGCTCAAAGCAATAAATAACTTAAGGAGAAGTTGAAAAAGTTACAACAAGAAGTATATGAGCTGAAAAAGGAAAAGGAAATCGATCAAGCTACAAGCTTTAAAGATACTAGTGACAAAAGTAGTATCAATGGTAACTTTGGACAAAATATTCCTGAGGTAATTATATACCATCTTTATAAATTATAAAACCATGATTATTAATTATATAACCATGTTTATTAATTATATAACCATATTTATTAAATTATAGGGCATTTCTCGGTGTCAACTCTATTTGTCGGCACCGACTTATCGGATGGTTGGCAAGGGAAAAGTGTATAATACTTCGGGAGAAATGATTCACCATAGACCGCTCCCAGATGGATTTTTGAAAGTATCAGTCAATGTCGTTTTAGAGGGGGGGTGCGTTGTTACCACTACCTGACGATGTGGCGGATGCAACATTGGTGGCAGATGCAATAGGATCGTTTGTTGCATGTCCGTCAAGCCTCGTTAGCATAGATAATAAGGTATGCTTAAAATCGTTTACTATTCAAATTTTTTATGGCAATTATACTTATATTTTGTTTACATGGTAATGTTAGACTCCAACAAAATCCATTTTAAAAGATAAGGGGATTAGGCGGGAGACCGAGTCAATTGCATCATTTGAGGTAACACAATTATATGACATTTATGCTATGAGAAATGCTAATTTGTGATTTTATATTTCCCCTAACTAATTATATGATAACTAGATTCATGCTAAAGAGACTGCACAAGTCAGTAGGGGTAAGGCGCCTGAAATTAGCAATATTTCCACACAAAAAAAGAATGTTGCTAAGAAGACTGTGGCTAGCAAAAAAAACTACTGCTCAGTTCAGGTCGTGCCTTCGGACATATTTATGAATTATAGATATTCCAGATGGTGGTACCCGCCTTATACCTATGAGTGCAGACATCTTTGGTTTTGAATATCTTGAAGCAATTGATAGAGAGGATATGGAGCAAGTTTTAGGAATTTTGAATTAGGCCTCGGTGTTATCGGTATATACATCAGGTATACTCTGATCAACTTTGTTTAATTAAATGAACAATTTAATCCCTCATTTCAATGAATATAGTATAATGTTAATGATGTTTTAATTTAAGGTTTATGTATGACAACATTGTGCGCCCGCGTGGATTAGAAGCAAGATTTGGCTTCTTAGCTCCCAACACTGTCAATTCAGGGTTAATTGTGACGAGACCAAATGATTTCATATCATATGTACTAGGTTTATTCGTGGCCAGTAAATATACTGAGAAGTTTTTCTTTTTGCCATATAATACTGGCAACGAGTTAGATTTTCATCCTAACTTGATCTATTATAATTTTCCGTTTTTGGCCATTGTTTAATCTTTGTTTAATCTTACAGTGGACACTGGTTATTGGTTGCGATTAATCCTATGAGAGAAAATGTGTATTATCTGGACTCGTTATACAATGATTGGTCAACATATCTAGATTTGAAACAGATGATTGACACATAAGTGTTTCCCTCCCAAAGATATATTCAAGTTTATGTTTATGTTTATGTTTATGTTTATGTTTATGGTCAACATATCTGGATTTGTGTTTA